ACATCTACGCAGCAAAAGACACGAGGTTTTGCAGCTTCCCTATAGACACTGCGACATCTACGCAGCAAAAAACACGAAGTTTTGCAGCTTCCCCTATAGACACTGCGACATCTACGTAGCAAAAAACACGAGGTTTTGCAGCTTCCCCTATAGACACTGCGACATCTACGTAGCAAAAAACACGAGGTTTTGCAGCTTCCCCTATAGACACCGCAACATCTACGTCGCAAAAGACACGAGGTTTTGCAGCTTCCCCTAGAGACACTGCGACATCTACGTCGCAAAAAACACGAGGTTTTGCAGCTTCCCCTATAGACACTGCGACATCTACGTAGCAAAAAACACGAGGTTTTGCAGCTTCCCCTATAGACACCGAATTAACGACGCGAAAAACGACGCGAAAACGACGCGAAAAACGACGCGAAAACGACGCGAAAACGACGCGAAAAACGACGCGCCGACCAACTGGCGGCGAACAAAGGTCCAACCCCCAGACCCCCAACTATAAACGGGAACCCTTCGCTACGCATTCGGGAAAAATATATATATATACAGTAATTTTAACATAAGATATAGTATATACCGCGCGTTTGTTCTCAAAATGTTCAAACATGGATATTGCGCCTCGTTAAATCAGCACCAGGAGTGCACTTAATTACGGAGAACACACAAACAAAAGCCTCAGAATGGCAGTGTTCTAGCACGGCCGCAAGGAAAACATATAGTTTCACTACGACATACTACGACGGTATTTGATGGGACTAGGTTCCGAGAATCATAAGCCTCACATGCAGAGAAAAATACTTCCCAGGAATCAAACAAAGTTCAAAACATTCAGGTACATGCTATTTTCAATTTTAATTGTGGTTTACAAGTTCCGAAACGCGACTTTCATTTTTGGCCTCATAATATTATAGCCATAGTTCCCAAAGAATCATACAAAGAGGGTGACCGCCATTGAGGCAAGATGTTTGTGTGACCATCAAAGGACCAAAGTTCCCACCTTTGGAGGCTTGCCGGAAATGGTGGGGAAAAAAAACAAAAGTGCAATGGAAATTTGGCCCAAAGAGAAATTAATTGAGATTCAAAATAACCAATCTCGGCTCAAATTTGATTTGATTTGGTGATTTGTTTCACTCTCTACAATTATTATGTGTTATGTTTTTCAATGATTGATTTGTTTTTCTGTGTTTGGGTCCTAGATGCTGGAAATGTGCCTACAATTGGCCCATGCGGGAAGGGTTTCATCAATTCATTGGAAAAGGTGCCTATCGTCTGCTTTCATTTGCCTTCGCCGTAAATTTTGTTATGTTTTTTTGCAATTGTAATTCAAGCCTGGCACGTCCTTCCAAATATATTTAATTTAACTGTGTTTGCCTGTACCTTCGCAAAGCTTTGCGCACCGCAAAACACGTCAAAAATGTGCTAGCAAAAGTTTAGGGTTCCACTCTAATCGAATTTTTTGCGTGCCAAAACCCCCCAAAAAAAAAACAATTGCTGAACCAGAATCGATATATTCGGACCGATGCCTCGAAATACGATTTTTGGATGCATAGTGGCGCCATCTTGCCAAGCCCCAAGCCAGAGATCGGAGTCGCAACAGCACATCAGCCTTCAGAATGTTTAGTCGACCACATGTCAAGATTCACCACCCGTACCTCACTGGTACCATGTTACGGTGGGATATGCATGGGGGAATCTTGTCAATGCATTCAATTCCTTCATGTGACTCGCAAGTGCTCTTCAAAGTGCATTACGTGGCGGGAATTGTTCTAAATCAAATGTCCAACGTTGTGGGAACCAGAAACTACTTTATAATAATGTGCACCATCAAACAAAACACGGCGTTGCCTGCTGCAATTCCTGCTCCAAGAGCATGCGGCCATTCCCGACAAATTTTGAAAGATCTGGTTTGCGAAAGGTGGGGTCAGCACGCGGCAGAACCAATCCTTAGCGCTGCCCATTCCGCGCTGGATTTCAAAACGTTCGGAGGATCAAAAACAAATCTGGCAATTGAAACAGTTACAACTGCAAAAAAATTGATGCAAGATGCTCCAATCACTGGCGCCCTGAAACTCATCTGGTTGGTTCCACGGAGTGTTCAATATGCCCATGGGCTGACTGCATGAACGTTCCGGATACAAACAATAAACCCCGTGAACCGGCCCGGACATGTACGGGTTTTGTTTTACGGCTGCCATTGTTCCCTGAGAATTTTATTGGTTTTGGATGAAGATGTTAGATAAACAACATGCAGCATTATTTTTCCCATTTCTATTGTGCGGAATGAAAATGTGTTCTGGTGGGTTTCGGATTCCCACACCATTCACATGTTTTTTATGTTTCATGTTGGTGAGGACTGCATTGCTGGTTCGCGGTGAAAAATTTTAAAATGTAATGTCTTGCGTTGCAATTGCACAGTCCCTCTGGCTACGATACGGCGATGTCCAGCTATATCACCACGACGGACTACCGCAGAGACTGTACGCGCCTTGTTTTTTCGAGCATTTCGGCAAACACACTTGGTCCGGCTATAAAACTTGCTGGTGAAACCCTGCGCCCATCGAGGCTTGACACGATCAAGATAAAACATCGTGTTTTACACGCGTTGCACCTTGCACCACCCTCAAAAAGCAAAGTGGGCTATGCAAAACAATGGGTTTACTTTTTTCAATACCTGGCATGCGCCTCGACTTGTTTCTGGGGATGCAGAACCTGTTGTGTTTGCGCACGAACGGTCTTAAAATGCAAAATGTTGTTACTAGATTCGCCAGGGCAGTGTGGGCACACACTATCGCTATATAGACAAACAACAGGCACAACAGTTATCAGCACAGACAATTGAGCGGCGTCGAAAACCCGCTAACAATTTTGTTTTCATCCTCATCAAAGTTTTCGCGGCGGTTTTCACGGTTTTTTTGCCCGCACAGTTGTGGTTTTCGCGGCGACATTTGTTTTGTGATACCTTTCGCGGTTGCTTTCGCGGAAAAATGCCTGTAAATGATGTTGCACATGAATACTTATATGCGTTTCTACTATGTACCTGCTTTCGTCGCTGTTTTTGCGGTTCGACCTATACGCACTCCTTTCGAGAAGTTTTCGCGCTGTTTTTGCGCTTACTTTTATATACCCTTAAAAAAATCAACCAAACCGAAACAAAACAATGAATGCTAACAAAATAGCACAAAATAGTACTAAATATAAGAAAATCAAACTCATGTGGAAACAAAAATCGAATTCGGCAAACGTGTATGACAAATCGCAAATTAAACCATATAAGGGTTCTTGGTTTGGCCCTCGCCAATAACACTTCCAAATTGGACCCATTTCCGGACACGCCGCGCATTAACAAATTTGAACGATGCTGCTTCGTGCTGTGCTCACAAAAAATGGAACAACAAGGGCAAAAGTGCCAAAGAAAACACTACATGTTTCAGGACTCAGGGGTGTTTCACAAACACACACACACAGAGAAGAAAAGAAATGCTGCAGAGTTGTCATAGGTCACGGAAGCGATCAGCTGGGAGCTGAATCCAACCATGCAACAACAAAACGTTAGCACAACCTAAGTCCTAAGTAGAGTAATGAAAGTTCATCTCGGCACCCATGAAGTATATCCGTTCATCACGACCCTGTCCCGAAAAGGGCCCAAATCATCCAAATAAACCAGGTTGCAACATGCGTGCGTGATCAAAAACCGCACACGGCGATTGCAAAATCGACACGCCGGTTCTTGCTCATATGTTCGCAGGATCCACCATACTGACATGTCAGTGAATTGTTTGAGTGCAAAACGTTATCTGAAGTTGCGAAAAGGCGGCCACACCTTTTTCTAAGCCAGACAAGCCTGAAAGGTCATGTGTGATTCACATGCCAAAAGTCAATGAACTTGTTACACTTCCTATCGATTTGTGCTGTGTCCATGATTGTAGATTCTGATGGAAATTCTTCTCAATCCTCCTGGGGATGTTGAATGAGTCAAATCAACGTCCCGTCCACATGTTGCGTCTCTGCTTCTGCGTTGTAGGCTGAATTTTGTACCAGCCCTTTCACATTTTCCAGAGAAAAAACATTTTGGTGAAAATTTCTTCAAAATTCATCCAGCATAATTTTCCGACATCCTGTCATAGCGCGTAACACTTTCCCATCTGTTTTGATCTTCTGCATTCTTCCTCAAGTCTCTGAAAAGCCTGGAAATTTTATTGCGGAACATGCCAACCTCTTCCAAACATTCAAGCACCAAGGTTTGAATTGTGTTGGAACCCCACAACTCTCCATTTTGAATGCGTCGAAGCTGTTCATCTTTCAGAAAATCCACCATTCCCAGCCAGATCCTGAGGCGTAGCAACTGTTGTTGCAAGTGAAGGTTCAACCTCCATGTCATCATCCATGTCGCTTTCTGAATCCTCTTGCTGTTCTCCTTGGTCTGTTTGATCTGCCATACCAAGAGCTAAACCTCTCTGACGAATCAAGCGCATGCATTCAACAGAACCCATTGTCCTTGAAGCAACTAGGTTTGCTCTCTCCAAGGTTGTCACATGGATCCATTGGCCATTGGAAAGTCCAAGGCCATTCCGCAGGTATCCTCCACTTTCCACTATGTAGTAATGGAGTCCACTTGCATAGTCGTGGGCCATACCTGTTTCATTTGAAACTTCCGTGATCCCATCTTGAAGTTCTGCCTTGTATTTGTCCATGATTGTTTCCAACCTTCTGCAACGCTCGAAAAGCGCATCGATTCTTTAGGCCTGTTGACCTGCATATTGGTCCTCATCAGCTACTTGGTTCCAGCACTTCTCCAAATCCTTTCATAACTTCTTCGCCTTCTGCATCATCACGTACGCAAAAACCCCAAAAAGCAAGCACATGAAAATGATAAAACCCCATAGCCAGAAATTCCCTGAGCCAGAATTTGCTGGTGCTCCGTACGAAGCGCACGTTGAAGCTGCATCCGCTCCAGGCAAATTGAATGACTCAAGGCCCATCATCATCGCCATACGCATCACGGTTTTCACAAGGTTTTCATATTCTTTTGTCCTTGGAACTTCGGTGTTGCTTGCTCATCCTCCTCCTGACCAAGCATCTCATGAGTCTCAGGGTCCATAGCACCCAGCATGTGAAGGAGAGTCAGGAGCCGTGCCTGGACACGAGCTTGAATCCAAAAGATTTTCCCGCTCAAGTGTCGAATCTTTCCAACACCCTGCCTTGCCACAAGTTGGCGGGCAGCGCTATTGTCAACCCAATGGATGTGCTCTTTGGACTTGGGCACAAGGAATTGCAAACATCGCTTGATGAAAATGGCATCTGCACATCCTGATACCATTGAACGCAACTCACTTTCAGCTGAGGACAGTGTAATCACGCGCTGTGTTCTGCTTGAGGCATTTGCTAGGCTGCTGTTGGTGTGATGCGCTGCACAGCTGGTACTCTTTCTATGGCTTTTGTTGGCAGCCCAATCAGAATCTGAAAAAGTCTCAGCCAACCAGTAAAGCTCGCCACCTTGTTTCCATTTTCCATGTCCAAACTCAGGTGGAACCAACTTGATGCCCATGCCACCTGAACTTTTGAGGTGGCCAACCAACTTTCTCAAACTCTGCAACGCACACAACGTAGGGCATGACATGCAACCTGCAACTTCCTTCAAACTGAACATCAGGTCAGGTCTGTCCCTGGCCAAATACAAAAGTAAGCCCATGACGCTGCGGTAGGAACTTCTCTTTTGCAGTAAGGCATGGTGAGACATCTTCATTTTGGATTCCTGCATCGCACGGGATTTTCTGAACCTTTGCAACTCCAAAAGTTCTCTCAAAGCAAATCACAAGTTTTTCTGCTGTAGTACTTGGAACAACCATTTTTTCATCATCCAGTTTGACCATGCGTCGCTTGAGAAAAGAAATGGAATCGCGAGTCCTTCCCATCACATTTTAACTGACACTGAACTTCTTTGACGTTGCAGGG